ATGCCGGAGGTGGCGGGTTCAAACCCAGCCCCGGCCAAAAACTGAAAAAAAAAAAAAAAATTTATAAAAATAAAAAATACCTTAAAAATAATGAAATAACCAAACACGAAACAAATACGTACAAAATCTCTAAAGAGAAAACAATAAAGCACTGCAGAAAAAAATCAAAGATCTAGATAAGTGAAAAGATACAGATGTTCATGGACTAGAAGATCTGACATTGCTAAACACCCTCTTCTACCACAAGCTCACCTACAGATTTTGTGTAATCCCAACCAAAATTCCACCAGGTTTTTTTTTCTTCTTTCAATTGGCAAACTGTTTTTTGCCTCTGATACTGCCAGAGTGCCCATGAAAAAGCCATATCTCAATTTTAAAAAAAGTAATGAATCAGAAAAAAGAGATTAAGAGATCAAAGTGAGAATAAACTATACCACCAGCCATCTAAAATTTAATATTTGAAGCCCTTACAATAGTCAGTAAATATTCTACTATTTAAGAATATTACATTATAATGCACACTACTCTAAACTTTAGGGCAAATACATGCCTTTGGTAATTTAAACTAGGTGGCCCCTCAATCTGGGGACATAACAGGTTCCAAGCTCCTGTGTGTGGCACAGGTATAGTGAGTGCTTCATTTTCTGATTGCTGTGTCTGGAAGCTTTATATCCAGACACATTATTATTTCTTAGTACTATTACAAATTAGTGTGAGAAGGAGGGAAATGTTTTAGCAAAGCAATATTCAATAAGAAATCTACTATAGGGTGGTGCCTGTGGCTCAAAGGAGTAGGGCGCTGGCCCCATATGCCGGAGGTGGCGGGTTCAAACCCAGTCCCAGCCAAAAACTGCAAAAAAAGAAATCTACTATAAAGAGGCGATATTTTACCTGTGAGATGGAGCCTCCCATTATAAAAGATGGTTTTTCTGAAGCCACTGTGGTTTTGGATGATGGGATGAGAGGAGGAGGTGGCCTAGTTGGTCGAGTTGTTGGAAGCCGAACCCCTTCAGGAAGGTTAGTTATCACTTGGTGTGGAGCAGATTGGAGGACTTTTAAAAGGAAAAAAAAAAGATGATTTAAAAGTAGTCGATTTCCCAGTTTGCAATATGCTACCTATCTCACTCATTCCTGAATTCTTAAATCACAAAGTTAAATGCAAGATGAAGCCAAGGATGAACATTTCTATTTTAAATCATTTACTTAAGTGTACACATATTTGAGTCAAAAATGGCATTTGTGGGGTCAATATATTCAACTCCTTTTCAAACCAAAGCTTTTAAGCTGATCCTCATCTCAAACTACTTCTGCTTGGCAAAGGCAAACATCAGTCTTCAATCATTTTTTACATCTTGTCACTACTACTTTTGACCTCACAGGGAGGTAAGAAAAAAGGGTGCTTCTTAGAAGAGCTGATATCCTTACTTCATAGAATATGTAGACATGACTGACAACCAGTCTTTAAGAAATAGTTATTGATTCTGGTTCTCATAGAACACTGGAATTTCTGGGGCTTGGGGAGGGAATTCAAGATTCTCACAAATTCAAGATTTTCACAAAATTCTTAAAAGCTAGTCAATGTCACAGTATAAATGTGTGAACACAAATTTCCCAGTGGCCCAGTGAACTCAACTGAATACAACTGATAATGGAATGCAGAGAAATAAGAAAGTCATTTTTAAAGAGCAAGGACATGTCCTGGGAGAGCAGTCCATTCATGAGGTAAACCCCCCACGTGGAGCACCTGTGGGAGATGGCCAGCAGCCACTGCACAGAGGAGTGATATTTACCTGGCGGGACACTATAGCGGGCTGCACTCATATCAGGCTGTGGAGCGGCTTTACTGACTTCTCTTGGAGAGAGCCTACACGGTGAGGCTGACCTTGCTGCGGTACTGTGCATCTGTGCTTCCTGTTCTAGAGCACGTGTGACCTCAGCATAAGGCATATAGGCGACTGATTTTCCTATGAAAGTTAAAGTTATCAAAATAAGGGAAGAACCCCAAATTAAAATAGTAAGTGTGACAGGACCAAGCCCACACCATCCAGGGGCAGATCCATCCATATACTAATTTCAATGTCTAAAATTCCTGAGGGGAAAAATCCACCCCCAGAGAGGTTAAGAAATCCTATAAATCTAAATCTTCCATGTATGCAACATCTCTGTGATCTAATAAAATCCTCAAAAATTCTATCACAGTGTTTCTCTTTAAAAAAATAAGGAACTTTTCTTTCCTCTTAAGGATAATCACACATGATAAAATTGTAATAGACCAACATCAGATTATCATGCAATTCTGTAGATTCAAGTCTGGACCAAATTAGAGGTCAGCTCTCTGAGAATTTTGATTCTCATAATTAGCCAGTTGAACCTTACTATCACCACATAATATTCAGAGAAATAAATTTAATTAAGGAATGGAAGAAGCCTTTCAAAAGATGCAGATCAAAAAATCCTGTATAAGCTTATAAAACTATAAACAAACTGTAATAATACTAATAAAAATTATTTATCATGTAAGTTATCTCCACATAAAGAACTAAGAAAACTTTAAACTTTTAAAAGGCATGCCAGAATGCAGTCATATTAACATTTTAAAAATACATGTATTATTTTTTCCTTTATAAATAACAAAATTAACATAATGTAATTTTTTTTTTTGAGACAGAATCTTATTGTTTCGTCCTTGGTAGAGTGCCGTGGCTCACAGCTCACAGCAACCTCAAACTCTGGGGCTCAAGTGAGTCTCCTGCCTCAGCCTCCCAAGTAGCTGGGACCACAGGCACCCACCACAGCGCTCAGCTACTTTTTGGTTGCAGCCGTCATTGTTGTTTTGGCAGGCCAGGGCTGGATTCGAACCCGCCACCTTAGGTGTATATGGCTGGCGCCGAGCCGCCTTCTTCTTTTCATTACCTACTCTCATCTATTTATCTTTCTAGATAAATTTAGATTTGAAATCATTTAAAGTCATAGTACTTCCTCTTAAAACAAAGTATCATTAAGAGTTCACTGGACTTATATTAAATTTATAAACAAACACCACAGACAACATTTTAAAATAATGAGTTTACTTCTTTTTTTTTTTTTTAGTATTTTGAGACAGAGTCTCACTCTGTTGCCCTGAGTAGAGTGCTATAGCTCATAGCAACTTCAGTCTCTTGGGCTCAAGCAATCAATCCTCTTGCCTTAGCCTCCTGAATAGCTGGGACTACAGGCTTTCACCACAACTCCAGGCTAGTTTTTTAGAGGCAGGAGTCTTGCTCTTGCTCAGGTTGATCTTGAACTCCTGAGCTCAGGCAATCCACCTGCCTCAGCCTCCCAGAGTGCTATGATCACAGGCATGAGCTACTGTGCCTGGTCAAAAATAATGAATTTCCTAAAAACTTAGTTTTTGTCATATAGGACTATACATTGTTAAAACTTACTCCTAGGTATTTCATATTTTATTGCTAAGCAAATCATCTCTTTTACATATAGATTATACATGTATATTAATTATAGTAGATATACAGGAAAGATGTGAATTTCTATATAATAATTTTTTCTGAGAAACCTTAAATTAAACTTCCTCAGCTCTAATTAACTTTTCAACTGATTCTTTTAGGCTTTCTAGATGGATAATCTTATCCTGTAAATAATAATTTGCCCTCTCCCTTCAAATACTTAAACCTCTTTCTATACAGGGTGTCTCAACAATTGCCATACACGGGGAATATGGGAGACTGTAGATAAATATACCTGTATTCACCACATACATGTTCATTACAAAATTTTACAAAGAGGAGACTAATGTAGAGAATATTTTGTGAATAAAGGTACATTTAGCTACAATTTCCCATTTTCACTATGTATAGTGACTTTTGGAATATGATGTATACTATATTAAATAACAGTTTGTTAGTATATATTTTAAAATCAGGAACAATTATAGAAATATCAGCTAATATTAAAGGGCCAAGTACTGTGCATTAAATGAATTATCTCATTTAGCACTCATGACTAGTGAGATAATTAACAATCTTTTACAGATGAGGAAACTGAGGCTCAGAAGAATCACACCCAATTGTCTAACCAAGGTCACACTACCAAAGATTTTTAAAAAGCAGTATAATTCCAAACCCTGAGCTGTCTTCAAATAATACAGAAGTGTCTCTCTGACAGACAGGGTGTTGAATTTCAGATGCCTCTGTGGTATTTATCAAGATGATGATATTCTTTTCTTCTTTGACATATTAATATAATGAATTAGATTATTAAGTCCTCAGTCCTAATACTGAGTAAATGGATTTATAAAATAAACCAACTTCAAAAGAAAATCACTTCTTCCTTTGAAAGAACTGAACATGGTATTGTATTAAAAATTTCATGCCTGACTGTTTTGCCATTTCCAGTAAGTTCATAATTATACTAAAAAAATCCACTGGTCACAGTAGTATTCTTCAAAATATGATAGGAATTTAGATGGTTCTAAACACAGCTATTTAAATCACCATGTGCCCACAACAAGAAAAACAAATGAAACCCCCCAGCAACAGCAACAAAATAAACATAAATTAGATTCAGTTACACAGAAACATGAAAAACATGGTCCTAATTCAGGTGGACTGTACCAAATATTTAATGTTTTATAAACAAATCCACATTCTCACTTTTTAACATTCTATAAAGACTGTTCTATGAGGCTGTATTTAAAACATTTGTGTCAAACATTCTATACATAAATAATTGCAAATATTTAAATGTTATTTGGAAGATTATCCTATACACTGAAATATAGGATTGCCATAAACTCAAGGAGGGGAATTCAGGCACTTAAAATAGATGACTATACCAAGTAGATTAGCAAAACAAATAAACAAGATGTCTAGAGAACACTTAGAGATCTAAAAATAGACCTGCCATTTGATCCTATAATTCCTCTACTAGGTATATATCCAGAAGACCAAAAATCACATTATAACAAAGATATTTGCACCAGAATGGTTACTGCAGCCCAATTCATAATTGCTAAGTCATGGAAGAAGCCCAAGTGCCCATTGACCCATGAATGGATCAACAAATTGTGGTATATGTACACCACAGAATATTATGCAGCCTTAAAGAAAGATGGAGACTTTACCTCTTACATGTTTACATGGATGGAGCTGGAACATATTCTTCTTAGCAAAGTATCTCAAGGATGGAAGGAAAAGTATCCAATGTACTCAGTCCTACTATGAAACCAATTTACAGCTTTCTTATGAAAGCTATAACCCAATTATAGCTCAAAAATATGGGAAAGGGGGAGAGGGAGAGGAGGGGAGGGGGAAGGATGGGTGCAGAGAGGATAATAGGTGGGACCACACCTACAGTGCATCTTACAAGGGTACATGTGAAATTTACTAGGTGTAGAATATAAACGTCTTAACAAAATAACTAAGAAAATGCTGTGACGCCTATGTTAATCAGTTTGATAAAAATATTTCAAATTGTATATAAAACCAGCACATTGTACCCCATAATTGCATTAATGTACACAGCTATGATTTAATAAATAAATAAACAAATAAAGAGAGAGAGAGCGAGATTGGGAAACAGCTACTGAATAGAGGACCCAGGATTTGAACACTGCCTGTATAAATCCAGATACTTCCTCTAACACAGTGATGGGACTGCAGGTGGTTAAGTAATGTGACCATAAAGTCTAAAAGTCAACAACAGAAAGGGACCAGAGATGGGAGACCTGGTGTCAGGGACAACAACATTATGGGAAAGAAATTAAAACTGAGTATGGGACTGAAACAGGGCAGTGGCACCCCAGCCAGCACTGCCAGAGCTGAGCAGAGGGTTTCTGCCCTGGGGGTATTGTTGCAGCTGCAGGAACAAGCAGGGCAGTGGTGGGATGGGGTGGGGGTGTGGGGTTGCAGGAAGCTTCAGTGGCTGGAAGTGCCAGACAACTGCTGGGGGGGATACCTCCAAGTTGCCAGCCCAGGAAGCTCTGAGGTGTCTCACCCAGCCTCTGTCTCCCTCCTCTTGCACTTGGGGCTGAACAGGGAACCCATTTCCTGGGCCTGGTCAATTTCATGTAAGATTCCTAGGCCTGAGGATATAAGAAATTGTATCCATTCATTTGTTGGGCTATATATATTTGATTTCAGCTCCAGAACTAAAAGTACCCTCTCTAGCAGTAGGGGTACATATACACACAGCCCTAGAAAGACCCAGGAGGAGATTTTCCGACTTGGGTTTTTCCCTGTCAGGAGCTCTGGTATTTTTTTCTGTAAAATAAATCCTGTCTTACCACTGGAAAAGACAAACAAACAAACAACAACAACAACAACAACAAAAAACCTAATCTTAGGATAAAATTCAACCAATTGTCCAATTTTATAGGGTCGCCTCGAACCAAACTGTTAAATTTTTAATGTCATAGTAATCACAAGTATAATTACAGTTTGGTTTTAAGATAACTGAATTATGATTAAAAATTAGGACACTACTGAAATCTAAACTATATGAATTAATGTAACTGATCACAGAGAAATATAATTCACAGCTGGATTCTCAGAATTTTGGGCTCTAGCCTAGTTCTGTCTCTCCAGTCTCTAAATACCACTCACTTTATAAAACAGACCAAGAAGAGATACGGACTTTCCAAAACAACTATATGATATCTTTTTCTTTTCCTTCCCTGCCTTCTCTCTCTCTTTCTGAGACAGTCTTGCTCTGTCACCCTGGCTAGAGTGCATCATCATTTTAGCTCACTGCAACCTCAAACTCCTGGGTTCAAGTGATCCTCTTCCTCAGCTTCCTAGGTAGCTGAAAGAATAGGTGCTTGCTACCACACTCAGCTAAATTTTCTGGGTTTGTAGAGATGGGGACTCCTTCTTGCTCAAGCTGGTCTCAAACTCCTGACCTCAAATTATCCTCCCATCCCAGCTTCTCGAATGCTAGGATTATAGGCGTGAGCCACCACTCCTGGCCTATTTTATCCATATTAAAATGACTCAAATATTGCTAACTAAATAATGTTATGATTTGGCGTAAGTTTGACAAACTATATCATTTAAATATAATTTTTACTTCTTCACAAAATCTATACTAAGTGATTTATATAAGGAAAAGATCAATATATTTTGAAATTATTAATTTATGATTCCCCACTGACAGATTTTCACATATTAGAATATGCTCAAAGACAAACATCGCTGATGTGTTCACCACTACCTTCTAGTGAAATGTGATAAAGAATCTCCATCACGTCATTCAGTTATAATTCATTCCTTCAATATGTAATTTCTGAGCACATGTGTGTTAATTATAGAACTAGGAATTACAGATACTCTAGACCAGTGGTTCTCAACCTTCCTAATGCCGTGAACTTATAATATAGTCCACAGGGGTTGCGACCGACAGTTGAGAACTGCTGCTGCTACAGCAGAAGCCTAAAAGGTATCAATATTTCTACCTTCATCCAAGAAATAGTCATTTAGCACCTATTATAGGCCCTGGTTTGTATTATCATCCTGGCCCATATTTTTACTAGATTTATGTTTAAAACACTAGGAAGTTTACTTTTAAAACTCTAATATAAGAGGTTCAGTGTGTTATGTAACAAGTAACTCATTATTGGTATGATTTGGGCAGGAAGTGGGAACTAGGCAGGATCATTTAAGTACCATAGTTCCTATTTTATACTAAATAGTCCGTGGAATGTATAGCATTTTTTTTTTTAAAGAATAGATAGCATTTTAAAGCTAACTACTCGTACCTTTTGTAAGGTACTGTGTAGAGTTTTCTGAATTATTTGAATATGATTTAGTATTCTTATATTCTAAGTACACTGTAGCATATAAGTGGACCATATGTTCCCTATCAAAAGCCAATTCATCTAACCATGTTAGAAGAATTTATTAAAACTTAGAAATAATCTCATTTTTTACAAAAGTAAAAGAATATCACACACCAACTAAAACATTTTCACCAACTCAAATCTGTCATTTGAAATAATAACAGTGACATAAAAATAGGTACTGCCATACTCTACTGGCAGTTCTGTAATTAATGCTAATATATACTAATTAGTATACATTATACATGAAATAATGCTGAGCTATGTGTTTTATAAAAATGAATGTTCATTTTTTTCTTAACTTTACAACCCTAGCAAGGTAGATATATATTGTTTTTACTTTACTGGTGAGAAAACTAAAGCTATGAAAGGTTAAGGGACTTGTGCACAGCCACACAACTGTCAAATGGTAGGTTGAAGGCTGAACCAGTATCTGATTGGCAATATATACTACACAAAGTTGTCATCTATCCTAATCAGAGAATTAGAATATTACTGTCACAGGTGATTTAGTTCAAGGACAGGACGATAATTCTCATTTATTCTGCAAATTCAGATAAATGGAGTATGAAGCATGACTTATAAACTCTGCCAGTATAATGATGAATATCAGAAAATTCACATTCACAACAAGGCTATTAAAAACACGTTGTCAATGATACTAACATTCCTTAATAGTTTCCCTGAGGTCAATTTAAGGAACTGTATTTGTTAGAGACAAATGCAATAAATCAATGCATAGGCCAATATAACAAAGTACAAAGGACACTGCTTTGGGGTTTCAGTTGGCTTCACTTCAGAGAAGTTCTCTGTGGTGACAGCTCTTCACCTACCTTCCCACTCTCTGTTTGGACTCTTGGAGGTGCCACATGGACTTGTAGAACTTCTGCATTCCAAATCTATCTGCTCTTGCCTCTGCCGCTGTTCCTCCAAGAGTGCTGACTCATGCATTGCTTTAATGTGTCGCTGGTAAAGAGCATAGCCACTCACTGGGGTTCCAATTGGCATATTACATGGGGTGCAAGAAACCTAAAGGAAGAAAAATAATCTAAATACACTGATGATCAATGAAATAATAATTACCATCTGTTAGAAGTAAACCTTATTTCTGTCATATTACTGGTTGAAATGATTTTACCATTTTTAAATCAAGAATAATGCTTAAAATGTTAGTTTCTTTCAGAACTATATAAAATATAAATTGCCAAAACTCTGATAAGAGAAATCACAATCAGAAATTAAAATACATCTGCCTGGGTGCCGCCCGTACCTCAGCGGGTAGGGCACCTGCCACATACACCGAAGCTGGCGGGTTTAAACCTGGCCCATGCCTGCTAAACAGTGACAACTGCAACAACAAAAAAATATCCAGGCACTATTGTGGCGGGTGCCTGTAGTCCCAGCTACTTTGGAGGCCGAGGCAAGAGAATCACTTAAGCCCAAGAGTTTGAGGTGAGCTGAGCTATGGA